TTTTGACTTTTCATGTTTTTGCTTTAAGCAAAAAGTCACATGATTAACCCTCAATAATAAGCATGTCATAAGGCTGGCATTCATAGTTCGTTCTTATTTCAAGACCTTAAGTAATATCTTAAGATGCTAATACGGCTCTATTAGTTCATGACATCTTAATAGCGAAATCGACTGAAAGCACTCTAGTGTAATATGCACCACTAGTGCGCACTAGTGTTTCCAATCGAATTCGCCATAACACTGTACTTAAGACTGGTCTTAAATATAAGATCCGACCATGAATATCGGCCAAAGAATGCTTTCAGCAAGAGACACAGAGGACATAGTGTAACACAGTGGATGTGTTAGAAGAGACGTTATTAGCGTTATTTGTGTTATTCCATCTTCGTTAATTACTAGACATAAAACAAGGATGAAACGACACAAGTAGTGTCTCTCTCCGAATGCATCTAGTGAATCATTACATCCGGAGGATCAATTGTGTATCTCGAAATGAAGTAAAAATTACAAAAGTGTATAAATTCACTAGAATAATCATAATTTAATTGGTCAATATCTAATGAATTTGTTTACTTTTGTAATTTTCACCTTATTTCAAGATACACAATGGACTGGTCAACCACTGATGAAGATGCTAAATACTTCAAACGTTACTTGTTAACTCTTTTTCTAACCGAGATCTCGGAGTAATTTTTAGCATCGTGAACACAACCCTAACAATATGCACGTCCAAAAGATGTCGTAAAGACAACATAAAAACAACTTTTGGAGATATCTACAAGATATCTAAGACATAAAGAGATCTTCTGGAGGATACGTGTTGTCTGGGAAGGTTAATTTGGACGTACAAACCACAACATCACATGTGTGCATGCTTGTTTGATAATCCTATAATTCAAAAATACAACTAGCTATTCGCTCAACAAAACCGCGATCACTGATTCGGCAAGTGGCCTTCGAAAACAAATCGCACCAGGTCCCGGCGTTGGAGTAACTATGCAACCATCATCGTGATTGCAATTTTTCGAAGAGTCTCAACGAATTGCGTTTCTTCGGCGAAGATACCCTTTCGTCAAGATCGAACGAGAGCAACGCTGACTATAGCCAAGGGGAAGATTCGGGGGGGACGACGCATCATTTTATTCTTTCGTCGCAAAGGTTCTTGCGATTCTCTCACGAGATTTAGAATGAGATATGAGGTAGAAAGAGCAAAGTTGAGTGCGAGCAGCGTAGAGCAGCGTAGAGAGGGAGAGCTGCCCCTACGACGGTGACCTCTAAGACGTGCGCGTACAAGCGGAGGGACCTCGGGGTGTTACTTACCTCCGCGTTGAACGCCTTCACCGCCTCCATCGCGTGGGGCAGGGGAAGAGCCTCTCGCGTCACCGTCGTCGTTAAGTCTCACGCGGATCCCGACGTAGCGTAATACCAACGAAACGTCCGCACTAAAACTCGCATCTCTCCTTCATCACGCACTGTATAGACGAACCATGCCATTCAAGATGGAAGGTCCCGTGTTTCCCGATACGCATCGCGGGACGGTCGACGCGTGACGTCACACCTGTCGTCTGCCCGATCGGTAAGGCAGGAGAGGCGTCGATTTATGCCGCTTGTTATCGATTATTGTATCGGCCTTATTGGAGCACTGTGATGAAATGTCGTTGCGCGAGAATTCCTAGAACGGTATTCGATTCTTAAGGCCATGACACGTAAAATATTTTAGTTGTAATCGTAAGGCCGCAAGCAAA